CTGATAATAAATTTACTTTGATCACCCGTTTGTGAACAAATCGATTATGTTTTGTTTCTTGATAGTATTAGCTAAGTTGAATGTATCTGGTGCCATTTTGAAGATTTGTTTTAATCTATTTGTTTGCAATCGACAGACTTGACAGACCCATATATCCCCTAAATAGATATGCATAAAAACTATAATATACCTACAGATCTCTCAATAACAATGCATTCCATGCATAGGAAAGCGAAATAAACTTGGTAATACATCCCTTCATGTTTTTATCGATTGTTTCAAGAATAATTCAACGATTTTTTCTGCCGCTCCTCATAATAGGGTGATGTAAAGCATTTAACCACAGCCATTTCTTGGGAAAGAGTGCGGAAAATCAATGGGGGTGTTAGGTATTTCCATGTAGCAACATTAAAAACAACATATCAACAAATACAGTATCGTTCTTAATGAATGTAAGCTTTGTTTATGATATTATTACAGATGTGTTTTTGACAGACCCGCATATTTAATGATTTCTCTTACATATTTCCCCTGTACTCAAAATCAACTTGCCTTGTGCTATTCCCTGGAAGTAATTGATGACACACAGGTTGACAATGAAACTTGTAGGAATCAAATGATGACAGGATACAATGCGATTTATTTACGAGGGACTGGTAGAGTAAGTGTGGGAAGTAAGGTACGGGCCGCGTAGTTGGTAGTTTGGGAAGTGTTCAAAGGGGGGATAAATGGTATTGGCCGAGGGAACCAGGTCCAAACCTTGTAGAAGTCACCAAGTGGATGGTTAATTAATCAATCTTGGGCTTGATAAGTTGAGTTACAAGGAGCAGACTGGTACGGGCCAGTGTAACTAGCGCTCTATGACGTCACGTTAATTTATCTTGGAAGAAGGGAGAAGAAAGGTTGAGAATATAACGGGATAGAAAATCGGATGCACCTTATATCCTGGTCAACATATAAAAGTATACACCCTATACTTGAATATACTTTAAACATCCGCTGTCCTAATTAATATACCTACGGTACCCCAATCCCTCGTCCCTCGTCAACTCACGGCAGCTGATGAGCTCACACAAGGCAGTGTCAGACAGCGAGGTAGGCCTACAAGTCAGGACCTAGTGCTCCTTCAAGTGAAACTGTGTTCCCATCGTACAACAGAGTATATTCTAGTTGCTCCTATCCACAAAATGTAGAAGCTCGTTGGTGATCAAGTCTACACAAACACCTCGGTTACCAGGACACTAACCGATCAATATAGTCACGTGTGATACGCCAGTTAGAGTTTTGGAAAAGTAACATTCATAAGCATTCACAATGTACATTATCAGAAACACAAGGTGTGACTCGTGTTGTATATAGCGATGCAAGTGCTTCAGGATATGGTGGTTACTGTGGTAAATATGGAAACCAGAGGGCTCAAGGTCAATGGTCACGTGACGAGGCAGAACAAAGTTCAACTTGGAGAGAATTAACAGCGGTTAAGTTTGTATTACATGCTTTATCCAGATTTCTAACATCCCAGAGGGTAAAATGGTTTACCGATAACAGCAATGTGGAATCCATAGTGTCTAAAGGAAGTATGAAAGCAGATTTGCAGGAAATTGCTTTAGAGATATTTGATTTATGTGTGTCACATGCTATTCATATGGAGATTCAATGGATACCCAGATCAGAGAAAAAGAAGGCAGATGATATCAGTAGGATTGTAGATTATGATTATTGGGGTATAGCTACCCACATTTTCAATGAGCTCGAACGAAAATGGGATAATTGTGACATCGATAGATTTGCCACGCACTACAACTGTAAAGCTGTCAGATTCTGTTCAAGGTTTTGGAATCCTGGCTGTGAATACATCGATGCGTTCACACAGAGTTGGGATAGTGTAAATAACTGGGTAGTTCACCCTGTGTACTTCGTGAGTAGAGTGTTGAAACACATGAAATGGTCAAAAGCGAAAGGTACTTTGATAGTTCCGGCGTGGTATTCTGCAAATTACTGGCCATTATTGTGTCCTAATCTTCATACCACAAGTGTTGGATTTCTGTTATCTACCTAGAGAAAGATAGGCTTACGTGCCAGGTAGATGTCAAGGGGGAATATTTGGTATTGAGCATTTGCATTTTAACATGTTGGCGTTGAAAATGCAATTTTGATGTTTATGTTTATAGATGTGCTTATGTTTCTGAGTTGGAGATGTTGCCTGGAACTGCCTGGGATTTAGCTGACCAGTTCCGGACTTGTTGAATGGTCCTCGAGTTGATTCTACTAGCAGGAGGTACCATTACGGATTTAAAGCGTGGCAAAGGTGGGGTAATTCAAATAGCATATGTGTAGGAGTTCCTGTTCAGCCTTTGCATTGTGCTATTTATCTTGTTGTTGTAATGCAGCGTAATGATTCGTTTTCATCAGTTCAGACTGCGTTTTATAGCATACGCCATGTGCATAATTTGTTGGGACTGCCAAGTCCGACAGATAATTCTCTTGTTCAAAATATTCTTGAGGCTGCTAAGAGAAAGCTTTCTAAACCCAAATGTAAAAAAGAGCCAATTACTGTAGATATTTTAGAGCAACTGGTTGATGTTAGGCAACACAGCGATTGCTTGAAGGATATTCGCATTGTTGCTATGAGTTTAGTTGCTTATGCCGGCTTTTTGAGATCTGCTGAGCTTCTCAATTTGAAGAGATGTGATATTATTTTTTACGAATCTTATATGACAGTGTTTATTGAGAAATCGAAAACTGATATGTATCGAGATGGTGCCTGGTTATTAATAAGCAGAACAAGAGGGAAGCTATGCCCGGTTTCTTGATTAGAAAAATATGTTGAAGCAGCTTGTATTGATAATGAGTCACAAGAGTATCTTTTCAGAAACTTATCAAAGTGTAAGACATCTTACGTCTTAAGAAAACAAAATTCAAGTATGTCATATAATCGTTTGAGGGAAGAGTTTATTGAAGCTTTTGCCCCCTTTGTCAGAAATATATCAAAGTATGGTTTGCATAGTTTCCGTGCGGGCGGTGCAACAGCTGCAGCTAACAATGGTGTCCCGGACAGGATGTTTAAGAGGCATGGTAGATGGTAAAGTGAGAACGCAAAAGATGGATATGTAAAGGTTTCAGTAGAACATCGTTTGTCAGTATCAATGTCGTTAGGACTATAGTATTTTATATTATCAGCCCGTTCTTTGAATCTCGAGTTGTGGTGGACTGCATAGCAATTTAGGGAGTGCTGCGTTATTTCTTGTATTGGAAGGTGATATATAGGAGAAATATTATTTCTTTCGTTTGAGGTACGAATAAGAAAGAAATTACTTTCTTCTAACGTAGGAAAATACAACATAGTGTTGTATAATAGTAGAGGGCGCTTATAAGGGGCTATATAAGGTCAAGCATGTATAGAGTGGACGTCATTATCGCTTGCAGTGCGCCACTGAAAACTTTACTTTTATTAATGATTGTTTCTAAGTTGCAGTATGTGCGGTTAACGGTGTTAACCATAATGGCCTGTCGCCCACGACGTGGTTTGTCGCAAAAGATGGAGGCTTGTCGCCCTGAGAATGTCGCAAACATGGAGGCTTATCACGCTGAGAAATTGATGCCTGTCGCATGGAAACAGTAGCTCGTTGCTCATGATATTTTATTATCACTGATTATGGCTTGTTGCCTTTTGTAGGGCTCGTTGCCACGTATATTTGAAGCTCGTCGCGTTAATCGAGACTCGTCGTCAGTATTTGTATATTGTCAATTTAGTCAATGTTATATGTTAGATATTGTGTATATCATGGATTTGAAATGACTGAGATATATGTAAATGTGATATTAATGTTGATTTAAACGGTGTGGTGTGGTGCACTGCACAGCAATCCAGAGAGTGTTGCGTTATTTGTTGTATTGGAAGGTGATATATAGGAGAATAATAATATCATAAACAAATCTTACAGATCGGAGACTATACATTCATTAAGAACGATACTGTATTTGTTGATATGTTGTTTTTAATGTTGTTACCTGTAAATACCAAGCATCGCAATCGGTTTTCCCCAATCCTTAAACACACAATTAAAATAATTTCTTGTGTAATATTCAAGCATAAAGGGCAATACTTGAAATAGCAATTGCAAAACAATTAGCAGAACCCAGTGCCTCGCTTCACCACATCAAAAACGGCACCATTTACCCGCACCAGTTTAGTGGTTTACTACAACAATATAAGACATGTCATTGTTTAGGTGAAAAGATATATTCTCCATACGGATGGTTAATTAATCAATCTTGGGCTTAATAAGTTGAGTTACAAGGAGCAGACTGGTACGGGCCAGTGTAACTAGCGCTCTATGACGTCACGTTAATTAATCTTGGGAGATGGGAGAGGAAAGGTTGAGAATTTAACGGGATGGAAATTCAGGTATCGGACAGAACGGTTTGCGGGACAGAAATAAACAGGTCAAAGGTCATTGAGCTCCCAGTTGCAGATGTCATTTATCTCAATTGCTGTGATCAATGCTCATGATTTCAATCACAGGATTGTATGGACCAGACTTGATTATTTACAGACCACCGTCATATAGGTGGAATATTGCTGAGTGCAGCGTTAAACAACAAACAAACAGACACACATTACAGATAAAACAGGGAGAGCTCGAGGCAACACTCGAGGCAACACTCGAGGCTGTGTCTTACAACTTACAAACACCACTGCCCGTCTACAACAATCACACGTGTTTTAAAATGCTTCGTCGATAAGCTACCTACTTTAACTAAAAACAGCTACTCCCTTGAATCAATCAGATCATAAGCTGTACATGCATTTACATAACAACCAATTCACCCAACTGAAATCCCCTTACCTCAAGTCAAGTCTAATTTCACCTTATATCCTGATCAACATATAAAAGTATACACCCTATACTTGATCATACTTCCGCTGTCTTTAATTTACCAACGGTAGCCCAATCCCTCCTCACACTCAGTTGCGTCAGACAGAAAAATAAACTCACGGCAGCTGATGAGCTCAAGCAGGCAGTGTCAGACAGCGAGGTAGGCCTACAAGTCAGGACCTAGTGCTCCTTCAAGTGAAACTGTGTTCCCATCGTACAAAAGAGTATGTACTAGTTGTTCCTATCCACAAAATGTAGAAGCTCGTTGGTGATCAAGTCTACACAAACACCTCGGTTACCAGGAAACCAAACAATCAATATAGTCACGTGTGATACATTGCGCAAGTTTCATTGTCAACCTGTGCATAATCAATTACTTCTAGGGAATAGCACAAGGCAAGTCGATGATTTTGAGTACAGGGAAAATATGTAAGAGAAATCATTAAATATGCAGGTCTGTCAAAAATACATATGTAATAATATCATAAACAAAGCATACAGATCAGAGACTATACATTCATTAAGAACGATACTGTATTTGTTGTTTTTAATGTTGTTACCTGTAAATACCGAGCATCTCAATTGGTTTTCCCCATTCTTTAAACACACAATTAAAATATTTTCTTGTGTAATATTCAAGCATAAAGGGCAATACTTGAAATAGCAATTGCAAAACGTCAACAATGTGAACTGTCGAGAACAATTAGCAGAACCCAGTGCCTCGCTTCACCATATCAGAAACGGCACCATATACCCGCACGCATTTAGTGGTTTACTATAACAATATAAGACATGTCATTGTTTAGGTGAAAAGATATATTCTCCATACACCACATTTTACGTTACTGACAAAGGCGAAGGATGTACTGGTTGACTGTCAATGCCCATCATGGGTACAATGCCCCACATGGGTACAATACCCCACATGGGTACAATACCCCACATGGGTACAATACCCTACATGGGTACAATACCCTACATGGGTACAATGCCCCACATGGGTACAATGCCCAAAATTGGTTCAATACCCCACATGGGTACATTATCCAACATGGGTACAATGCCCCACATGCCAATACCCCACATGGGTACAATGCCCCACATGGGTACAATACCCTACATGGGTACAATACCCCACATGCCAATACCCCATCAGCCATTACCCGACTCCTTGTAGGATAATACCCGACACCCAAATATTTTATTTAATTAGGTTGGTAAGGAGTGGGAGAACAATTTATTCAATGACATTGGTATTGTTGTGTTTTTTAACACGTCAGTGTGGGCGTGGTCTTGTGTTTGGAGGGTGGGATAAATTGCTAAGTTTATACTTTAATGACGGATGCAACACTTCAGGATGATGTCGGATGTTTTTTCTAGCAATTTAAACTAATTCATTGAGAATTGTTCTATAAATTACCATAGGAGACACTGGAAACAGATAGTTCCTGATTTAGACAATATATCACTTTGAGCTGACCATACCGAGCAACTGACGAAAGTTAATTATGAATGAAAACTAACAAATTTAAAGTATAAATATGTGATGATTTATTTTCAATAGATCCCAGGAAAAGGTAGTTTCTTTTCAAATGCATTTGGCGAATAGTCTTCTTATTACAAGAAATATAGATGTATATAAATAACCATTACTCGTCTTTGCTTACACATCTACCAAAAACACCTGTCCCATTAAACAACACGTCCTTAAAATAAACAAACACATCAAACAATCAGACCCCTCAAAACCAGCAACCACATAACACAGTACGTCATAAGAAGAATTCCAACCTCTCACAGAAGAATCCCTGAATCAGCAGTTAGCTCCTGCAATTGCCTCTCTTGCCAACTCAATAACGAAAGTAGAAGTCCCTGCTGAGGTGAAGAGCGGATACAATCACACATACCTGTCCTTATGACTTTCACTAAACTTTGAAACATTTACCCACTTACATAAATTGTTTGATGAGGGGTAAGCATAAGTGTTGTCAAACATCCTACTGATAATATATTTACTTTGATCACCCGTTTGTGAACAAATCGATTATGTTTTGTTTCTTTATAGTGTTAGCTAAGTTGAATGTATCTGGTGCCATTTTGAAGATTTTTTCTAAATCTATTTGTTTGCAATCGACAGACTTGACAGACCCATACATCCCCTAAATACATATGCATAAAAACTATAATATACCTACAGATCTCTCAATAACAATGGATTCCATGCATAGGAAAGCGAAATAAACTTGGTAATACATCCCTTCATGTTTTTATCGATTGTTCCAAGAATAACTCAACGATTTTCTCTGACGCTCCTCATAATAGGGTGATGTAAAGCATTTAACCACAGCCATTTCTTGGGAAAGAGTGCGGAAAATCAATGGGGGTGTTAGGTATTTCCATGTAGCAACATTAAAAACAACATATCAACAAATACAGTATCGTTCTTAATGAATGTATAGTATCCGATCTGTGAGCTTTGTTTATGATATTATTACAGATGTATTTTTGACAGACCCGCATATTTAATGATTTCTCTTACATATTTTCCCTGTACTCAAAATCGACTTGCCTTGTGCTATTCCCTGGAAGTAATTGATTATGCACAGGTTGACAATGAAACTTGCGCAATGTATCACACGCGACTATATTGATTGGTTAGTGTCCTGGTAACCGAGGTGTTTGTGTAGACTTTGACACAATCTTAATACGTACCGTGCATGTTGTATAGACAGTTAACCAGTACATCTTTCACCTTTATCAGTAAGGTAAAGTGTGGTGTATGGACAATACATCTTTTAGTCTAAACAATGCAAGTCTAGTGTCAAGTCCTGACATCATTGATGCTTACATTGTTTTAGTAAACGTCTTGATGAGTGCGGTTATATGGTGCCCTTTCTGATAACGTCACATGTGCCATCTGAAGCGAGGCAGTGGGATCAGCTGATTGCTCCCATCAGTTCACATTGTTGACGTTTCGTAATCAGTATTAAAATGACGTTGACGTTGATGCTTGAATATTACACATGAAATATATTTTAGTTGTTTGTGTAACCCGAGGTTATGACAAACGTTTGGTATGGAGATATCATTTGGCCTTTTTACGTGTGTGTTGAAATAAGTCAACACCAACACCTCGGTTACCAGGAAACCAAACAATCAATATAGCCACGTGTGATACATTGCGCAAGTTTCATTGTCAACCCGTGTGTCATCAATATCTTCCAGGGAATAGCACAAGGCAAGTCGATTTTGAGTACAAGGAAAACATGTAAGAGAAATCATTAAATTTGCGCGTCTGTCGAAAATACATGACATTGTGTAATGATATTATGAAAAAAGCTTACAGGTCGGATAATATATATTCATTTGGAACGATACTGTATTTGTTGGTTTAGTGGTTTACTATAACCATACACCACATTTTACGTTACTGATAAAGGCGAAGGATGTACTGGTTGACTGTCTGTACAACATGCGCTATAAGTTTTAAGATTGTACCGGCTTTGTCAGCGTACCTAGCATTTAAGGGGGATAAATGGTATTGGGAACAAGGTCCAAAACTTGTAGAAGTGACTATGTGGCTTGTTAATCAATCAATCTTGGGCTTGATAAGTTGAGTTACAAGGAGCAGACTGGTGCGGGCCAGTGTAACTAGCGCTCTATGACGTCACGTTAATTAATCTTGGAGATGGGAGAGGAAAGGTTGAGAATATAACGGGATGGAAATTCGGATATCGGACACAACGGTTTGTGGGACGGAAAAAGACAGGTCGAAGGTCATTGTGCTCCCAGTTGCAGATGTCATCATATCTCAATTGCTGTGATCAATGCTCATGATTTCAATCACAGGATTGTATGGACCAGACTTGATTATTTACAGTCCACCGTCATATAGGTGGAATATTGCTGAGTGCAGCGTTAAACAACAAACAGACACACATTACAGATAAAACAGGGAGAGGCAACACTCGAGGCTGTGTCGCATCAACTTACAAACACCACTGCCCTTCTACAACAATCACACGTGTTTTAAAATGATTTGCCGATAAGCTACCTACTTTCACTGAAAACAGCTACTCACTTGAATCAATCAGATCATAAGCTGTACATTCATTTACAATATAATTAATATACCTACGGTAGCCCAATCCCTCGTCACACTCATGATCAGTTGCGTCAGACAAAACATAAACTCACGGCAGCTGATGATGTCTAGCAGGCAGTGTCAGACAGCGAGGTACAGGTCAGGACCTACAGTGCTCCTTCAAGTGTTCCTATTGTACAACAGAGTTTAATCTAGATCTTCCCATCCTCATAATGTAGAAGCTCGTCGGTGATCAAGTCTACACAAACACCTCGGTTACCAGGAGACCAAACAATCAATATAGTCACGTGTGAGACATTGCGCAAGTTTCATTGTCATCCTATATATAATCGATAACTTCCAGGGAATAGCACAAGGCAAGTCGATTTCGATTTTGAGTACAGGGAAAATAGGAGAGAGAAATCACGAACAGGTGGGTCTGATAAAAATACATGTGTAATAATATGAATAAAGCTTACAGATCGGAGATTTTATATTAATAAAGAACGAACTTGTTTTTGTTGACATGATGTTTTTAATGTTGTTACCTGAAAATACCTGACACCGCCATTGGATTTTCCCACTCTTTCCCAAGAAATGGCTGTGGTTCTATTTATGATTTACATCACCCTATTATGAGGAGCAAGATAGATAATCGAAAATCTAGCCTTGGAACAATCGATAAGAACATGAAGGGATGTATTACCAGGCTTATTTCATTTTCATATGGAATTCATTGTCATCTAGAGATCAGTAGGTATTATTATAGCTTATATGCATATGTCTTTATGGGTAATAGGGTACACTTCAATCTGTTGATTCCGAACACATAGATCTAGAAAATATTTTCAAAATGGTACCCGTTACATTCAACGTACATGATAGTATTAAGAGTGAGTGAGTTGGATTGAGCGCCGCTTTTAACAGTATTCCAGTTATATCACAGCATACCACTTCGGTGAAACCCACGAGCACGGGTATGGTGCTGACCGGGATTCGAACCCACAATCATAGGTTTCTTGCGTGCCCAAAGGACGCAACTCTGCACAGCGAATCGCGGCGCCTCACACGACTGGGCTACCCGTGCTCCTTCTTATATTAGTAACAATTAGGAACAATCAAAGTTCCTGAGAATATCCGCAATGTATACACAAATGTGAATACGTCACTGGAATGAGTGAGAACCACATTTGGAATGGAACTCGAGTCTGTGGCATGCTTAGCGAACACTTTTACTGCAAGAACACCTTTGGCAAAAAAAAA